AGGGGCTCCTGGCCTTACTACTAGGAGCAAGGACGCTACTAGGAGCACCCACTGGAAATGAGACGTCTCAGCTTCTGAACATAGTAAACTGATTTGCCCCACCCGATCCTTGGCCAAGGCTTCATCAACCCCATCTTCGTCTTCGCCGGCAGCCACCACTCCAGTTTGCGTCAAAGGATCAGCACTTCGGGCTAGGGTCAGTGCCTTCACAAGTCTGAAAATACACAGCAGGCTCAGCAGTGCCTCACGTGTTCGCATCTTTGAAAAACGTTTGAGGAAGGCGAACTTCTGCATCATTTTCCACAAGCCCTTGCCTTGAAACTACCACAAACAATGGGAATTGAATTTTCAAGACTCGTGCGGTGTTTGGCGAAATCGTTTGAGACTGAGGTTTGTTGACCCCCAACCTTCTTGACTCGTGCAAGACTATCAGACGAAAGGCTCCTCAAGACAGTGCACAGCTCATCGTCCTTCCAGCGAGTGATTGCTTGGCTCGATTCGAGTGCGACTTATCACCCTGAATCAAAACCCCAAGGCCACCACTCCGAGCTGTCTGAATATGTGTCAACTGTGTGTCTCTGCCCAAGTGGGGAACCACCCCGCTACCCCGGCGAGCCGCTCGGTGAAACGACGTCCCGGGCAACGCAACCGGCGGATCGGTTGTCCGGGGCTCCGTCGCTTCATGCGCTTCTTTGGCAAGGGACCCCGCACTCCCCATGAGGCTTGGCAGGTCACAGAGTTGTCATGCAGGTCATAAGTGTTATCATGAGCAGAATTCGTGTTCGGCTGCCGCGGATTCTGGGGTGTTGTGCCAAGTTGTGGAACCTTTTCACCACTCCCTTCTCGTGACAACAGGCTTCAAGCTCCAAATTACACGGGACTTAGTGATTCAAATATCCAGTCTCGCCAGCAGCAACCTGGCCCGCACTGGAAAACCTATATAAAGGCCTGATCCACTCATCAGTTGCCTGGATTTTTGCTGCCTATCTTCCTCAGCCCTCTCTCTCTCTACAGCCGCAATGGCTTCAAAGCACGTGCACTGGGAAAATGTGCATCTGATTCAAGACCCTGACCCGCTGGTGGATAGGTTCTTACTCCCTGCGATCTGCCGCAATGCCGCTGAACGTGGCAATGCCATCGCAACGTGGCCGCTGGTCCAGGATTTACTCCAAAATATCTTCACTTCACGGAAGAGCTATACAGTAGGAACTGATCACCACCAATGTTCCATCACCTGTCACTATGATTCTCTCCCTCCCGCTGACACGGCTCTTGGACTTGCCTGCCAATCAACCATTCGAAGATCCAATCAACATCTTCTCAAGATCACTTCTTCCAACACCAACCTTCCCCTACGAACCCTGCAAGGAAGGCTTCTGAAGACTCCCACAGATCAAGACTTGGTCCACTTTGCCTGGTCCGCCGCCGCGGCGGCGGAGGCCATGACGGAGGAGGGCCTCATCCAGAATGGCGCGGTCACGTTCACAGGTTGAGCTCCATTGTTTGGAGCCGCAGGAATAGTGGCGATCGGATCGATGCACAACCAGACTAAGTCACTTTGTGGATGAAGAATGAGGTTTGTTTCTTGTTGCTTGGAGACTAGGATCCCCCTGCAAATGCACCGGTGCCTTACCAACTAATGGCTGCTTTAGATATTCAGTCAAAGGGTGTCTGTGTGTAGGGAACATGATGACACGAGGTGTGTGACACGAGGAGCAGTCTGCTCAACCGACACAGGAAATCTTTGTGAGTTCCCTCCACTGTCAGAGCTTCAGGCCCATCTTCAAGCCCCAACCAAATGCTTTGGGCATTTCAAAACAGTTGAAAGGGCACTCACACGTTCATTGCACTTTCATGGACTTGGTGTTTTCCGTAGCCGCTCTGCACTCTGTGGATTTGCCTAGGAGAAATGCGCTTGAGCGCCGGCCCCTGCACCACTTTAAGTGGTAGCGGAGCCCAGCACCTGACCGGGCTCGGTTCCTGTAGTTTTGGCCACGGCGGTCGAGGAGGCCTGGCGGCCTAGGAGGCGTCGACCTCCGAGTGGTGCGGGTGCGACAGCGGAGACTGTCGAGGAGGGTGGCATGAAGGTGGGGCAACCACAGAGTGCTGTGGGTCCAGTGGCTTCTGAACAAAGGCCAGCGGACCAGATAGGTGAGGGTGGGGTAGGATCTCTTGATCCGTTGCTCTCAGCTGATCCGTGAGCGCGGGGACGCGGCAGCGAACACTGGGCTTGGGAAGAGCGGCCATGGACGGCATGGTCTTGGCCTTCAAGGCAATGGGGCTCATGGAGTTGGCATGAGCCGCAACCGTGGTGGTCTCATCGATGGGGTCAGCCGACTTCATGGTATGAGACGGAGTGGTCTGGTGGGCATGGGGGTTGGGCTGGAGACGGTCGTGTTCCGGGTGATGGTTCCTCATGGTTGAGTCCTCCCCCCCATCGTCATGTACCTGGTCTACATGTTGGTGAACATGCCGGTGATGTAGGTCGAGACCAAGGGGGTGATCTTCCGCCTCCGGTGACTTCAGCTTCTGACGAGTCTTGGTTTAATTTATCACCAGGTGATGACAGCATCGAGAACCATCCAGCCGCATGGCCACCAGGGCCTTGGGAATTGCACAACATGGCGGTGAATGACAATGAGCCCAATGCGACCTCCGCTGCTGATGGACGCCCCTCGGACTCGAGTCGGTCGGGTTTGGGGAGTAGTGGAAACCAGAAGAGTTCTCAGTCACATCGGAAGATCCCTTCTACGTATCCACCCTCCTTTTCAGCCAATGGGGATGAGTCCTATACTCACTGGAAGCGTGCGGTCCAGTGCTGGATCGCTGGGGAAGGCAGGCAACTGCCCGAGGATGTGATGGGCCCCCGGTGTCTGTCAGTTTTGAAGGGAAGAGCAAGCGTGATTGTGAGACATCTCAAAATTGAAGAAGTGAGCAAACCTGGGGGCTTAGCTTTGGTCTTCAAGGCGTTGGAAGCGTCCCCGCTGGTCAAGGAGTTAGATGGGCAACGGGGTGAGAAAGCTCAGCGGGAATTTCTCCGTTGCCGTCGCCAATCGGGGGAGTCCATGAGTCCTTCATCATGAGGGTTCAGGCTCAACGGTCAGTCATGGAAGAAGAGGATGCCCAGTTTGCGGTCGGTGACCGTTTCCTTGTGGGCTACATCTTGGACCACGCCGAGCTGACCTTGAAGGATCGTGTCATGGTCCTTGCAGCGGCCCAGAACAAGATGACTTCAGAGAGCGTGTTTCCTGCACTCCGTAGGATGGGACCATTTTTGCAGGGCACGGTTCCGATTGGCAAAGGCGTCATTGACGCTCTGTTGATTCCTGAGCTTCATGAGGCTGCATCCTCTACCAAGACCTCCACTACCGCCTCTCCGCCCGAGGGGCGGAAACCCTGGGCCTATAAGGCACATGTGGCAGCTGAGGGCTCCTTCCTGCTAGAAGCCGGTGATCCTGAATTGCTACCTGAAGAGTTGGAGTCGGCCACACATGCCGCCCTGGCGGCCTACTCTGCCTCTCAGGCCAAGCTCAAAGCCTTGAAACAGGCCCGTGGCTACTTCCGACGACCAGAGCCTCACGCTCAACCTGGTCAGCAAGAACGCTTGAAGAAGTTGATGCAAGAAAATCTTTGCCGCGCGTGCGGTGGATATGGTCACTGGTCTTAAAGATCCTGAGTGCCCACGCAATGCCAAGGGCACAGCGGCAATGACGGGTGGCGCCTCCGTGGCCAGTCCAGGACCAGCAGCGTCCGTTAATTCTCCTGAGACCTCCAGTGAACACGCAGCGATGTCCGCTGCGCTGGAGCAAATGATGAAGGATGAGCAGCACCGCCAGTCCGCGAGAGCATACATGGCTGCGGTGTGTGATGCTGCTGGGAGTGTGGGGACATCAAGAGAGTTTGTGACATTGGTCAATGCAAGCGATGACATGTTCACTGCTCGTATGGTCGTGGATCTGGGTTGTTTGCGGTCGGTGGCAGGCATTAAATGGGTTTTGACAGAGGTGCAGCGTTGCAAGCAACAAGGTCGGTATTTTGCCATCAAACCCACATTGGATTATTTCCGTTTTGGTGATGGGGTTCGTCGGCCTTCACGCTTTCGCGCCTATTTGGAGGTCGGGACATGTAGGCTTGTTGGCAATTAACGCAGTTGAGTATCCTTGTCCTCCACTTCTTTCCAAACATGTACGCAGTGCGTTGGGGCTTCAATTGGACTGTGGGTCTGGCAGGTTTGATCTTCACAGGTTAGGGGTGCGATCACAACATTTCACTTCATCAGCTGAAGGTCTTTATTTGTTACGGATCGATGAGTTCATTGAGCATTGGCCATCTTGGCAACAGTTGCTTCAGCAGGGACATTGCCCTAAGATTCAGCATGATGAAGTGTCCATGTTTGAGTTGCGCAAGGGCGTTCCCGTTGGCAAGGGTGTGCGACGGATTCAGGCTCAAGGAAGAGATCGTGTCAGAACGCCTGTCTTGGCCTGTGCTCCCACGTCCGAGCCCCGCAGTGCCTCTTGTGATCATGGATCGCGCTCAGCGGACCAGGGCGGCACGCACTCGGGAACCCATCGAGGCACAGTCCGTGTCGTCGGTGGAACTTTACCCGGAGGAGCCGGATTGGGGGGGGCGAAGAGGCGGAGGAGATCCAACCACAGCAGCCGCGTCGGAAGCAGGCTGCCGGGACTCGCTTGGATGCTTCGATGGAGAGTGCGCCAGCTGCCTCAACAGGGGAAACCAAAGTCAAGTCCGAGCCGAAGAGCAAGACCAAGGCCAGTTCAAAGACCAAGGACAAGAAGGAGACCCGCTTGGAGATCACCGGCCAGTATGCGGACTTTCCCGCGTTGGGAATGACACACAGCCACGATGCAGTGTTCAACATGAGCTGGGTGCTGCACGGCCGGCTGGTGGTGCACAAATGGAAGCAGCTGGTGTGGCTCCTGCGCTCCCGAGTGGCCATGGAATCCTACGGCCTCCTTTGGAAGCGCCATCCTCGCTGGCTGGCCATGATGATGAGCAAGGAGGTGGCGGCCATTTGGGGGGATTTGGGCGGCGCTGTGAAGACCTTGAGCGGCCCTCGGGGTCCGCCGCTGCTGAAGTGAGGGGTGAGGCAGTAGCGAACGGGGGTTCAGAGCCGAGGAGAGCAACGCCGTGGAAGCGCAGTCAAGTTCAAGTGTTGAAGAGAGGTGCAAAGTGTTGTTCATCTGTTTTACAACATTTGGCTTTTGTTGCTCACAAATCAACAGATCATACTTGGCGTGTATTAGAGATCTTTGGAGGCAGTGCAGCATTGTCGCTGATAGCCCGCTCCACTGGGAAATGGTGTGCCTTGGAGCCTGTCGACTTAGTCTATGGATCTGATGTTCTGGACCCCAAAGAACGAAAGCGGATTTTGCAACAGATTGATGAGTGGGAACCGGATCTCGTGTGTCTTGAACCGCCGTGCGGCCCTTGGTCTTCTCTACAGTCACTCAATCCCCAAGAAGTTGTTCATTTCAAACGAATGTTGCATATGCCTTTTTGGGAATTTTGCGCAGTGGTCTGGAAGTAACAACATCGTGCCGGTCGTCTTGTGTTGTTGGAGCAACCGTTTCGCAGCATGGCCTTGAAGTTAGATTGTATGATTCAAAGACCAAGTGTACACCGAGCCGTTGTCGATCAGTGCATGTTCGGATTGCAAGACCCATGTTCTCGTTTACCTTTTCAGAAGCGCACCGCTTT